CACAATCAATGAATGACATCAATGAATCTCACAAATATAAATTTAACTGAAAATAGACAAAGGATGTAAAACTGGTAAGTGTAAACAATGGTGATAGAAGACAGGATATGGAGAACTTCAGGGAAGAGAAATGACTGGAAAGGCACAAGAAGGAGCTTCTGAGCACATCTTTTCTTTATTTATTATCAAGCTTGTGAGTCTGGGGGGGGGGGCACTCACTTTGAGAAAACCCATTGAGCTGAACATTTGAGATTTGTGTATTTTTCTCCATGTGTGTTATACTCCAGAATTTTACCTTTTTAAAAAGGGACTACATTAGATAGAATAAGAAACCATTTCAGTATTTTATAGGTTGGAAAAGGAACCACAGTTGAATCTATGTTTAGGATTAGGGTTAGATAGAGGTAAGTTCAGCTCCTAAACAATTTCTAAAAAGCATCATATTTCCTGCACAGAGAAAAGAGAAGGGACGTGGTGAAAACTCACATGTGATTTAAAGGCTGGATTCATGATTTTTGTAACTGTATGTTAAATGCATGCTTACCAATATATACCTCATTTCGAAACCTAACTAGAAAGTGAATTTATTCTCAGAATACCTGAGAGCTAGAGTGTATTGAAGCTGGAGTGACATCCTCTTGGACTGGAAACATATTTACCCATTCTTTCCTGGTTTGTGGACCAAAAACATCATTTTAAAAAAATATAATAAAAAAAATAAAAAAATAAAAAATATAACGAAAGTTGAGTTTTCATTTGTGACAAAGCCAAGAATTTGATAAATTAGTATCCTCTGGTTTTGTCTGAATTAAATATCTGAATTAGGAAATTATTTTAATCCAGATTATATTTTGATATACATTGGTCTAAAGTTAAAACACAAGTTAATGACAAATAAGTAATTAGTTAATTAATCCCAGCACAAAAGTGGAAGTGATTCTTGCTTCACAAATAGGAAAGTGAAAAAATGACATTGCATTAAAAAAGAAATAATTTCATCCAAGAAATTATATGCCATTACTTGTTTTGGGTTTGTTTTTTTTTTTTTTTTTTTCACTAACATAGTGTAGGGTCAAGATATAACTTAGAGTAGGCCAGCCAAGTAGGGTTATTTTCTTATTTCACTTGATCTGAAGCATAGTCAGATTATGCGGTATCTGGAGAATGTGAAAGAATAGGAATACCAAATACAAGCCAGTGGAGAGAAACTGAAGATACCAAGGGTTCTGTAATTCAAGTGGGCAAACGGCATTCCTAAACTCAGATTTGGGTTAAGGATTTCAACTCCTCTGTATTATCTACAGGTTTTTAGTCTGCTTTATGGCAAATGCTATCAAAATTCGATTTCTACTGTCTTATAACTAGTGAATTGTCAGGATTCTTAATTTCAGACATTGCCAAGATACTAGGTAGAGGGAAACAGAATAGAAACTATACTACTAAAGAGAGCATTTAAGATTTCTAGTGAGTTGTGGAATTCACAGAAATGAAAGCATTTGGGGTTTAGAGATGGAGTTATAATATGTCTTTTTACATAATCATGAATGCACAGAAAATAATGATCAGTTTTAAGTGAATGATAGGCAGCAATTTCATGCTGATGCTATGCAATTGACTTTTTAAAATAAATGTGGATTCATTTAATTCTGTTTGCTATGTGTGACTTGGACACAACTGTCCACAGCTGATGAAGGGCCAAAAGCTGTTTATTAACCGTAACCATTAATAAAAATACTTGCAATAGAAAATATGAGCAGTTATTTTTGAAAGAGCACACATTGTTTACCATTATTTTTAAACCTGCAATACAGAGTTACCTGCGTAATGAAATAAAACTCTTCAGTGGGCCTGACAATAGATTTCTCTTGTACTGCAGCGTTCGCAGATTTTTGAGACAAACTCTCCACACATCTGAGACATTTGGCCTTTAAAGTACATTCACCTCTGTCCATTACCTCTAAACTCAGTCAGCATGAGAGGCAAAATACATTTTGAAGGAACACAATGTAATTCATTACCAACTGCAATTGTTTCTGGCCTAGAAATCCAGTTGTGGTATTTGAAGATAAACAAAAGCAATAGCAGAGCAGCGTGATAGCTATCTGAACCCCACAACTCAACAGCCAGATTTCAACCCCCTAGCTCCTCTGTCACTATCTGTGTGACCCTGGGCAAGTCACATAATCCCTCCATACCTTAGTTTTCTCAATGTAAAATAGGGGTATTACTAATAATCCTACTTCACAGGGTTATATGATAATGAAATGGATCTCGGTTGTGAAGTGCTTAGAATCAAATATGGCACATTTAAGAGTACCATATTCATAAATCTAAAACATTAGCACATGACTCTAGGCTCCACTTTCTTCAATTCAATACAGACCGGGCCAGAATCACTGCCCTGGCAACTGTCTACTTTCTAGAGAGCTGCAATTATTTTCCTCTAACTCTAAATGGGAAGGCCAGGCTCCACTACAGTGCTCATGACATGCACAATTGCTCACTAAATGCTTGTTGGGTCTCTATTACACTCTGTCATCATGTTCTTCCTGTCTTTTAGGAATTCTATTACCCCTTTTTGAATCTCCCATATGTTTTCTGATTTGCATGATTTATTGATCTATTACGTATTTTATGCTGCCAAGTGAATCAATCTATCGATCTATCTACAGTCATTTTTTGAGCGCTCTCTCCATGACGACTACTGTGCTAACTGCTTTTCTCCTATTTAACCCTCACAATAGCATTTAGGGGATAGAACTTATCATTATTCATATTTTTCAAGTGAGAATAATAAGACTCACAGTCCAAAGTTACATACCACAGGTTAGGCAGAGTTCACATATGAACACATTTGGAGACTATGATGTCAAGTTTTCCCTGGAAAAAGGAAAGAGGTAAATAAAAAAGAGAAGCAGGTATCTTCAAGGTCTTTGATTCTCCTTATAGAAATGCTGTCCTCTCCTGCTTTATTTATTTATTTCTCTTCCTCTCCTCATTTCAGCATGGATATCTTTGCAATCTTACATTGGGAAAAACTAAGCTAGCCTCTCTCATTTTGTCACCATCAAACTTAACTTTCCTATTCCTGTAACTATGCTGAAGGATGTTAGCAGATAGATATTGTTAAATAATTGACTCAGCCTCCATTACTGAATGTCAGGAATTGTTTAAAATGTAGGGATATAGCAGTGAATAAAACAATAATATAAAAAACCCAAAGTCCTTATAATAAAGGGATAGACTGTATATCGATATGTAGAATATATATATATATATATATATATATATATATATACACACACACACACACATAGTATAATATCAGCTAAAGGCATTATATTCTTTTAAAACCTAACTTACATAGTAATTGACAGTTTTATATACTTGTTAAAAATTATTAATTGCCATGATGACATGTAAGTAATTATAAGGTAATTACAGTATGCTTTGAAGCTTCAAAACATTGCTCACGATTCATTGGCTCTAGTATTATACACAGACACAAGAGATAATCTTACCAGAATCACCATACAGAGATGGTCGCATGTAATCATAATCATAATCCACAGAGAAATTTCATAGTTACTTCAAGGATGAAATTGTGTTAAGTAAAAATAGAAGAACAAGTAATGAACTAGTTGCAGATCTAAATTGTGCTGATGACTTAAATGGTGGCCCAGAAAGTCACCTAGCCAAAATTATTAATGTGCTTATATATAGCTTTCTGTCAATTGAAAGAGTTTACCATTCTATTTCTGAGGCAAACTGGCAAAGGTTGCTTGAATATTTCCAAAGTAATATTTAGGGGTGCCTGGGTGGCTCAGTCTGTTAAGCGTCTGACTTCAGCTCAGGTCATGATCTCACAGTTTGTGGGTTCAAGCCCTACATCAGGCTCTGTGCTGACAGCTTGGAGCCTGCTTTGGATTTTTGCCTTCTCTCTCTGCCCCTCCTCTGCTTGTGCTGTGTCTGTCTGTCTCTCAAAAATAAACATTAAATTAAAAAAAATTGAATTGCTAATCTTCAAATTTTAGCCTACATGTTTAGTTGAGAGTTAAATGAATATTTTAACTTTTTAATAAACCTAGGATATAACAGACACCCATATATATATATATATATAGGGTCAATTCAAGAATCTTAAATATACTTATGATAAGAAAAATGTTTTTTTAAATATGACTTTGTTTTATTTTTTGTTTTACTTATTTTTTGTTTTACTTATTTTTGAGAGAAAGAGATAGAGACGACATTAGCAGGGGAGAGTCAGAGAGAGAAGGAGACACAGACTCTGAAGACAGGCTCCAGGCTCTGAGCCAGCTTAACCGACTGAGTCACCGAGACGCCCCGAATTTGTTTTCTTAATACTCATAACATAAATTCCTAAATATGTATAACCATAACTACAACTTAAGCATGACTGTATTTTGGCATAACGAATATTTTTAGAGACGTTTTATTTGCATTTGACCAATTAAATGTTTTTAATTATTGTTGCTGCAATAACAGGATATTATTATTAGGATACGGATATTGATAGGTAAAGTCCATCTTAGCTCTTGTGACAAAGAGAAGAGTAGTATTTGTAGATGTAGACTATAACATGTTATTCAGAAAACAGGAATGACCTCTACGTCAGGGTGTAGAGGAGGCAATGTAATCCAAATACCCAAAAAGAAAGAGAATACAAAGAAAGTAGAAAGAGTATTAATATGTTATCAAAAATACTTACCAGAAAAGAGGATTCTTAATCTTCTCATACGTCCCTCTTAAATATGAAAATGGGTTGAAAGTGCTATAAATTCAGTGTTTTGTATTTAGGCCCAGAAAAAAAATTACATTAAATTACATATATCCAGGTAAAACCGCCCAAGAAGGGAGGAAAAATTTGTCCAGTTTGTCACATCAGCTCAGAATTTATAGCCTCAAATCAAAGTGAATCAAAACATTAATCCTTATAACTTGAATTTTGGATAAATATTCATAGAAATTCACTCTACCTTGCAGATTTCAAGTCTTCATTTAGTTACTTTCATTAATCTCAGCTCCAATCACCAACATCTGTTAGTTCTAATCAAGCAACATGGGGTGCTTATAAAACAAATAAAACAAAACAAATATAAGTGACTTATAGCAACCTAATATATAACAATATAATTAAAATTTTCCAAGGCCATTTTATTATAGTGTAATAAGCAACCTGAAATGATACAAGTTACAGTTTGTAGATTTCTGAAATTTTGGTTTTTTTTTTTTCTGTTGTTGTGGTGGTTTTTGTTTTTTCAGAGAGAGAGAGCAGGGATGGGGCAGAAGGAGAGGGAGAATCTTAAGCAGGCTCCATGCCAAGCATAGAGCTAAACATGGGGCTTGATCTCATGGCTGTGAGATCATGACCTGAACTGAAATCAAGGGTTGGACACTTAACCAACTGAGCTACAGAGGCGCCCCTCACATGTTTTTATCAAGTATCTCATTTTATTTACCATGTCCCATTGTATGTTTTAAGATATTTATGAAGGAATTTACTTGATTTTTCCAGCAGGAATTTTGTATTACTAAGTCTTGTTTACAACTAAGCATTGTATTCTCTGACTATAAATGATAATTTTAAACAAGTTTCAGATTCTGTGTCTCCCTCTCTTTCTGTGCCCCCTTCATGCTCTGTTTCTCTTGCTCTCAAAAATAAATAAAACATTACAAAATTTTAAACAAAAAAGCTTTTTCTTTTTCTAGGTTTATTTTCTTAATTTAAGAGAAAGAGAGAGAGGTAGAGAGAAAAAATCCCAAGCAGACTCTGTGCTGCCAGCGCAGAGACCATGAGATCATGACCCGAGCTGAAATCAAGAGCCAGACACTTAACCAAGTGAGCCACTCAGGCATCCAACAGATTAGCTTTCTAACCTGTCATACATTTTGAAGTCCTTAGGATACAGTTGCTTATAGGGAAAGAGATTTTATACATGCAGTTTGTAGCATACTTATTCACCATTTAAAAACTTGAGACATTCTCAACACCCTGGTTTATATCCTTTTTAATAATTTTCCCATATCTCTATTATATTTTAGCTAATTCTTCAGGGAAATTTGGCAATAACAGCCTTTTTTTTTTCTTAATTCCACTATCATCCTCCTTCACAATCACTCTCCTACTATATCTGAAGCCTTTGGCATGTATTGCATATTCTTTGTTTTTACAGACATCTTATCCCTGAAAATATACAAGACTTTATTTTTTACAAAATTCCTAAAGGTGAGAGACTTTTGTAAAAGGAACTGGATCCTTTTATCCTTTTGATTAAGGAATCTGTGGAGGTAGCGAAGGAGGTAGAAGGAAGAACTCTCGCAGACATTCTGAATGCCCAGTGCTGCACACCATCATTGTTCCTGTACAGCTCAGTTATGTCCCTTGGGACTTAACTGAGAATATTCAATGGCAGCTATGACACAGTAACACAAAATTCTACACACATTGTCAGCCTTTTCATATAACTCCATTTCAACAAGCTAGTGGGGAAAAAAAAGACAAAAAGACCTACACTTTCTGTTTCCTCAGTCCTTTTTGTGAGCTTGGCCCAGGTCAACTGAGTTAGAAATCTTATGTGGGTCTTTCTAATTTTCCCACTGTCCTGGACGCCAAGAGTGAGGAAACTGCTGAAAGACCTTTTGTTCTGGATTCCCTAGCTTCTTTGATTTCTACCTCTTTCCTAGGGACAGTTTCTGTTTGAAGCATTTATTTATATCAAGATTTCCATTCTTGCATCTGGATCTTTCATAAAAGAATGTGCATTCCACTGGGAATAGGAATATTTTGAGAAATTCAGCATGGAATGTTAATCTCACTATGGGTATCTTTACAAGACTTTGTTTGGTCCCAGTGTGCTTTCCTAACAGGGGGTCAAGTGAGCTATTCCAGTAAGTCCCTTTAGGGACTACTCAATGTTCCTCTGCTTACATCACCAAGCTGTGAACTCACCTGCCCTGCCAAATCTGGGGTTTCCAAACAACTAGAAAATGGCATCAAATAGAACCAGTGAAACAAGGCCAATCCATAAGTAGTTGATTTTTAATAGCTATGACCAGGTCTGTAATACCTCAGTAGTTGCTGAATATGTGAGAGCAATGAATATTTTATTTTGTTTTAATTATTATTTTTTATGCACATATAAAGGATTGAGTTAATTATACAGTTCATAGAATATAATGATCATTAATTTGTTTAAGACCTATACAATTTTTGTCTTTCCAATTTCATTTATTTATTTTTTCAGGCACTTTTCTCTCCATTTTGCCATTGCCTGATTTCTAACCACCCCAATAAGGCAATCATATATTAATGTGTTGGGTGTGCATCCTTCTATGAGTATGTATCAGGCTAAAATATATGTCCTTTTTTTAGCTTGATACAGTTTTTACTAACATTAATGGTCCTGTATAATAATTTGCAATATTCTCTTGATTTGTTTGTTATGTTCCACAATGTTGTTCTGAGTTCATCCACTCTGTTGTTTTGGGTTTTTTTTGTTTTGCTCTGGTCTGTATTAATGCACTCATTAAGTCTGCTGCTCCCAACTGCCATGTGGTATTTAGCAGTGCACATCAGCCACATTTCTGTTCCTACCAGTCTATAATTTTTATAACCTCCTATAATTTATATGAGAATTTATTTGCAATGTATGTCTAGCAGAAGAGTTGCTAGGTTACAAAAAGTTTGTACATTTTATTTAATGGAAAAGCTACCAGCTTTGCTCCACAAAAAAGTAGTTCGTGCGTGTTAACTATATCCCTAGTTCTGAAACAGAGAAATTTGTATTACCCAGGTTCCTTTTTGTCTTCTAATGGATGTTAATTGATGTCTCAATGTTTTCTTAACAGTTTTATTGATGTATAATTGACAGACGAAACAATATATTTAGATTGCATATCTTGTTGATAGGTTTAGACATGTAAAATGATCACCATAATTAAGGGAGTGAAAACAGCCATAACGCCTAAAATTTTCTTCATGTCCTTTTCCAGTGATTCCCTTTCCTACCTGGTTGCTTCGGTTTCTTTCCCCCACTTATTACAAGGACTAGAGACCCCACTGTTCCGGTGCTTAAAAGAGGTGAGTAGTGGCATTCTTTCATTGTTCTTGATCTTAAGTAAAAAGCTTTCAGCTGCCTTTTATCAGTTGGAGGAAATTCTTTTTACTTTCTAGTTTACTGAGACTTTATGAAGAATGAATGTTAGATTTTGCCAATGCTTTTTCTGCATTTGCAATTTATATAATAACATAGTTATTCTTTTTGAGTTTGTAAATATGGTGAATTATATTATGTGATTTTTTTTTTTATTTCAGGGAGAGAAAGAGAGAGAAAGAGTCCATAGAGGGGTAGAGGGAGAGAAAGAGAAAATCTTAAGCATAGAGCCTGACGTGGGGTCCAATCCCACAAACCTGGACCCTGAGATCAAGACGTGAGCCAAAATCAAGAGTCAGACACTCAACTGTCTGAACTAACCAGGCACCCCCAATATTTGATTTCTTAATGTTAACCAACCTTGCATTTCTGGAATAGAGACCAATAAATTATGATGTACTGTCCTTTGTATATACTGTAGGATTTTTTTAATTCTTAAAGTAACATTTGCACCTATGTTCATAAAGGATACTAAGCTTTAGTGTTCTTTTCTTTAATATTTTAGTGTGTAGGTGTTTTAGAAATATTCTGTCCTTAAACATTGGTAGAATGCTTAAATGAAGACATATGGTTCTGAGTTTTCTCATAGAAAGAACTTTTAACTAAAAGTTCAACTCCTTTGTAATATAGGCTACTCAGTTATTTATGTCTTCTTAAGTGGTAGTTTGTTTCTTTCTGAGAATAGGTTCATTTTAACTATGTTATCAAATGTACTGTCATTATTTTTGAGGAATAATATGTCTGGTTTGAATTTTATCAATTTTATTGATCTTTTCAAATAACTGACCTTTTTAATTTCATTAGTCTTGATTTCTATTTTGTCGATTTCTAAACTTTGGTCTTTCTTTTTGTTTTCCTTAATTTGGATTTCACTTTCTGCTCATTTTCCAAATTCTTGAAATGGAAATTAAGGTCACTAATTTCATATTGTTCTTTCTTGAAATATAGGCATTTAGTGTTATAAATTTTCTCAGGTATTATCTTAGCAGCATCCCATGCATTCTGCTAAGTTGTATTTCCATTTTTATTTGAATTAATATGCATTGTAATTTCCCTTTCAGTTTCTTACTGTTATTGATTTCTTTTTTTTAATTTTTTTGTAATTTGAGAGAGAGAGAGAGAGAGAGAGTTTGGAGAAGGCTGGGGAGTGAGGGAGAGAATCCCAAGCAAGCTCCACACTCCATACAGAGCCGGATGCAGGGCTCAATCCTACCACCCTGGAATCATGACCTGAGCCAAAATCAAGAGTCCAACGCTCAAGTGATTAAGTTGCCCCAGGCTCCCCTTACTTTTCTTGATTTCTAATGCAATTCTATTGTGATCACAGGACACAATTCATGTGACTTGAATTATTTTTATTGCAACTTCTTTTGATTACTAGAATATACTTTTTTTGGTAATATATTCCATGTGCACCTGAAAAGAATGTATATTCTATTATTTTTGGATGGAATGTTCTACAAACATCAATTTACTAACATTAGTTGACAGTTTTATTCAAGTCTTCTAATATCCTAGCTGATTTTCAGTCTACTTGCATTTCTTTCAAGAGCATATTATCTCCAATTATCCATATCAAAATATGTATTATTTATGTTATTTATTCATTTTAAACTGTTCTCTGTGGAAGCTTTGTGTATTGTTAGCATACAGATCTCAATTACATTTTAAATCTTTTGTTTCTATTGTAAAATGTTTATCATGATCTATTTTTTAGGTTTGGCTGACATACAAAAATACTACTTTTATTTTAAGTATGTATTTGTCTATATTCTTAAATTATGTAAATATTTAAAATACCTTTTTCTATTAATTTTGCTGTGTATTTCTTCACATAGTTGAATATAGGACTTAAAAATAATATTAAAAAATTGATTTCTACCTTTCCAATCATGCACTTTCTTTTTCTCTTTGTGGAAATGTTGACAGTGAGTTCTTTGAGACTTATTCTTTTTCTTCTTTTTTTTATTAGATCTATTTTTTCATCAACAAAACACAATAAAAGTAATCTTTTGGGAACCCCAGGTGGTTTAGTCTGTTGAGCCTCTGGATCTTGATTTTGGCTAAGATTATGAGTTCATGATTTGTGAGATTGAGCCCCACATTGGCCTCTGCTCTGACAGTGCGAAGCTTGCCTGGGAGTCTCTTTCTGCCCCTCCCCTGCTCATCTTGTGCTCTCTCTCTTTCCCTCTCTCTCAAATAAATAAACATTAAAAAAAGTAAACTTCTACTAAGTATACATAACATATATAATTATACTTATTTTTATTTTAATTTCTACTACCCTTGGATTTCTTAGATTTCTCTTATTTGAACATATCCTCTAATAGTATTTTCAAAATATATTTCAAAATATATAACAAACATTCTAAGGACTTGTTTGAGAATATTCTTACCCTGCTCTGAAATTTTAATAAGAGTTTGACTAGATACAAAATTTCAGGCTCAAAATGTATCAATTTTTTTGTTTCATATTTTCTTTCCATATTTTAAAGTATTAATCCATTCTCTCTATCTCCAGGAGTCACATATCTTATATTTTTAAGGCTATCTGTTCTTTATCTATGGAAAGCTTCTCTTTTTCTATGTAACTTATTGCTTGCACTTTCATTATTTCTTAAGTCTATTTATTATGCTCATTAAAAAATATTCCAATAATTCGATTTTATTAGTATAAGTTCAGATTGCTATTTTTTATTTACTATAGTTTCATTCCTCATTTGATTATTATTTTTATTTTTAAGTTCACTAACAGATGCAGGATTCTGGTAAGCCATCGGTCTTTAAAAAATAAGTGTGATTTGAGGTGTTTTCAATGTCTGTAGTTAAATACTCCCACATGGCCAATATAAAGCTACCAAAATGTCATCTCTGAATTCAGAGCTGGAAAGACAGAGTCACAGTTGGCTCTCAGGGATAGGTACAAACTGGTTCTAGCATACCACCACATCAGCTACTGTAACATAGAGAATATATTGAGGGAAGAATAAAGTGATGCACAAATCTTATCCTTCCAGTTGGAAAGGGAGGCAATCAGTTTTAGGATAAGGATTCAGAAACATTGAGGGTCACATACCTTTTCTTTCATCCCAACAGACAATCTCTCTGTTAAAGTATTAATTATTAAATTCTTAGAAATTATGAATAATTGGAAGGAAACGGTCATCTTAGGTTGTCAGCCAATATCCCTGAAGCTGAAGGAAAGACAATGTACCTGTAGAACAAGAATGAAAGTCAGTCTCATGAGTGTTCAGATGCTTTCAAAATTGTTCATCCTAGAAGGGGTTACCCTGTCTGATAGGTCCTATATGGAAGACCTGAATAGTTATTTCCATCTTCCGTGAAAAGATAGGAAATTATTATTCAAATACAGTGATGGTATAGAGAAATGGGCAGAACCAATCTTCAAGAATTCCCTTCACTGAATTCTCACTGCTCCCAGTTGTGTCTCACCCTAGGTGGCAGCCATGAGCACTCTCTCCAACCACACACACGTGCACACACACACGCACACTAATTTGTAGGAACTGTGACTTCTCCAAAAGTTTTTAACTTTTTGTTTATTTATCTCTTGCGTGCTTTTCTCTCATTTACTTAGGTTCATCAAGGTTGATTTTGGAAGAGGGAGCTTGCAATCCTTCAAAACTTCTCTCCAGAGCATCCTATAAATTAGACTTCCATGAATTGTACCATGATATGAATTTGAAGAAGGCTATATCTGAAGATTCTAGATAATTAATTTACCTCTTTTGTATATCGATTGTTTTTCTACTTTACAGATATCAAGTTTAAAGTTTAAATGAACAGTAAATATGAAATTCAATTCAATTCAGCTGTTATTTAACATTTTAGAACAAAAGAATTAAGTCTTGACTGTCACAAGTAAGGAAAATATAGAGAAAATGTCCCCGTGTACTCTTCTTCCAACTTTTATGCTTATACCCTGAAGGTGTCTGTGTATTGAAAAGGAAATAATTTATTCTAGATTGAAATATAAATCAAAGTAAGTTTTACAGCATAGTTCTACCAAGAGCTCTGTATGTAAATTCCTTTAGCAATTTAACTGGACATCTAGAGATATTTGGCTGTTGGGAAGAACTGAAAGTATTTGTAAAACTAAAACATATGAAGAAGATAATTATAATGCTTGTATGCATGAAGAATCAGAATTCATCTATTACCTGAAGGACAATTTACTAGAAGTTGAAGGAGTCTTGAGACTAAGTGCTAATAGTGTGTATACGATCATTATATGCGAGGTTGGATTTTAGAGCTCAATTCTGAAATTCCCCACAAATTTGAAAAAGGAATAAGTTATCTTGTGCAGTAATAAAGTGATTCATCTCCTTGACTACAGTTGCATGTAAAATAGCTGAAATTGGTATCTTTGAGTATCACACTATTGTCTTTGACTTCTTTGAAAGAAAAAGTACACTTTTCATAAATTTCTGGCTTGAATCATATATTTCCTTTAAAATAAAAAAGTAGCAATATTTGGTGTTTATTACAAATCTATTATAAATATTAAAATATTTGATATGGGAGAAAAGACCTATACAATTATAAAATTAGAAAAGGTGGTGAAAAGTCTTTACAAATGAAAGGGAATACCCAAAGATGTGTTTGCATTTCCTTTTCTTTGCATCCATAACACCAAATACATTATATCTGTTGACTTAACATTAACTTTGATTGACAACTCAATGATTAAATGGTCTCCTCCTCTTTAATTAAAACTGACTTGTTTTTAATATTTTCAATATTTAAAACAGCTAAGCTATTAATTCATTAACTACTGCCTAAAATGTATTTGGCACCTAACAGTAGGGAAAAATTGGTAATTGATAAATGGAAGCTATTGCCAAGGAGAAAAGCTCACCATTTATAATTTTTCTTTTAGAACAAAGTTGAAATTAGCCAAAATAAATAGGTTTTATATTTCACAAACAAAATCATCATTTAATATTATTCATATTCTATAAGAATCTAAAAGTTGCCAAATCTAACCAATTACACATAACTGCACTTTCATATTTAAATTTCTTAACAGTTTAAGTGCATCCACTTGCTAAAGCACATATAAGTTAAATGATCCTTTTAAAAGTATAGAATTTATATTTTTTAAATGTCTCATTTGGTCACAGATTTATAGCACTTTAAAATTAGTGACTTTTGCCATATGTGTTTCATAATTCAACAATTTTCTAATCTTGTTAAAAGCATCATTTTAGACATCATTCCATTCCGGTACTACTTCAGTTTTCTTCTTTATCATGTAAAGTGATAGTTTAGATGATAATTATCATATTCATTAAAAATACCTTGATTTACTTTCACAAATCATTAAATAAATATATCTGTCAAATGCCATTGCTTAATAATCTTGCAATTCCTTTAAAGACCCCACCCACCCACAAATTGGTGGCTTACATTGTTTATTTTTAACATGTATGGCCAGAATGGCAAATGTCATAATTGCATCAAGATTTTAGTCAAATTTTATATTAAACAAATTCAACTAATAAGTACTTTTCTTCTGCAGAAATATCCTTCTTTGGGGAGTATCTACACCTTCTACTTGGAGATGGATCTTTATGTATTTCCATGCCATAAAGGAAATCATGCATTTTGTAAACTAGGGAATTCTTCTCCAGCCAAGTATAGATATAGTTGCTAGAGTTGTCTTCACCCATAAAACATATTTTAGGAAAACAGAAGTTATTTTGTCTGAAATATGAAAAAAAAAATCAAACCAGTAATAATGACACACAATCTGATTAACCTCATACAAGGGCAATACCCAAACCTGTTCTTGTCTCAAGTAGGATAAGATTATGATTGAATCCACAGTCTCCTAGAAATGACAATTTTTCAAGAATGAGTAATACTCAAATAAAGATGGAAAATACTTAATATTCCTCTTGGATTTTTGTCCCTTCATTACAGAGATTCTATTCAGAACCTTATACATTAAGTTATGCTCACAAAATGATGAAAGCTTCACAGAACTATGTTTTCCCAATTGCAACACACTAAGTCATATATTTTCAAAGTGGTCTAGCATCCAAAGCCCTATGGAAAATAGCTTCTTGGTCATTCCCTTCTGCTTCATATTTAGATGGATAAGTGTCATATATGTGAATGAATATTATTGGAATTAATGAAGTAAAATTATAATTATTTTCCGGACTATTACAAGCTTATGCTCTTTGCTTTGATACCTAATACCAGTAATTCTTAGTGGTTTAATGACCTAAAATACCCATGTACACCAAGGTATTTAAATGATTGAAATTTACAAAAATAAAACTAAGTTAAAGATAAGACAATTTTACTGTCAAATGTAATATAATACAAGACACATAAGAAAGGTGTATCATGAATTGCACAAGCATGGATTGTGCAATGGTGCAAGCAAGCACAACATAGATTTTCTGTGACTTTAAATGATTGGCTAAGCACGTCATAAACATAAAAATTATCATGGCAGTATGACATGATTTTAAATTGAAGGTTTCAGTTTGTGCCAGAGATATATTATATGCATCAAAGTGAGATGGGAGGTAAACCAATATGTAGATTAATAACGAAAATAAATTAGAACTATTTAGATGACCCTTGAATTTTTTCATTAACTTTTAATCCTATGAAAAGTATAAGAGACTTTGTGGGAGAAAATTATTGGAAAACATTTGTAAAAAGAGTTTCTACTTTGCTACGAGTTTCAACATTCACAAGGAGAGATACGACTGTGGACCCCTCCCCTCAAACCGACTAAGAAGGCAACAGTGAAAGAACCCAGAAAGAGTGATACTTGTCTCCCACATTCAACAAGACCCATTGGTCTTGCATCTGATACATATGCCTGAAGTATGTAAGACTAGATTCTACCACTATTGGCATGTAGTATTATAGAAGAGGGTAGGGAGAATGAAAGAAGGGATGATAGAGAGGGAGGAACAGAAGGAAGGGGGAAAGGAAAGGAAGAGAGAAAAAGAAAAAAAGAAAGAATGTTTTAGGAAGAAGTATTACTGGGGTGCCTGGGTGGCTCAGTGGATTAAGCATCAAACTCAGGATCAGGTCATGATCTCATGGTTTGTGAGTTTGAGCCACACATCAGCCTCTTTGCCGTCAGCAGAGAACTCACTTTAAATTTTCTGTCTCCTTCTTCCTCTGCCCCTCCTTCCCTTGTGCTCTCTCTATCTGAAAAATAAATACAAACATTAAAAATAAAAAGGAACATTACCAACATCATGCAAATGTATTTCCCATGGGCTAAGATGAGTCATACAAAACAGATTTTATATTCCATCTCCAAAGGGAAAAATGAGGAAATTCCTAAAGAGCTGTGGATGGAGCAGCAGCTATAATGTAAAAGTTTTTATTGTCTGTGAGATGAAAGTTGCAGGTAGAGAAAACAGTAAGTACTGTCTACAAACACATAAAATGTCCTGCATGAGAATCAGGTTTAAACCTTTGCCTAGACCAGGGTGTTTGAGGCCATTTTAAATTACTCTAAATTAAGAAGTTTTCCTATTCTTCTACCTATTTTCTCTTTATTTTCTACCCATATTCTCAACCCTAAGTGGGGGTCAAAACTCATGATAAGCACACCAGAGGAAATAGTAACCTGTCCAATCTTCATCATATCCTTTCTTAGCAGAAAATATGTTCTACATAAATATGACCCACTGGGAAGAGTAGATTTAACTCCAAATCAAGATTGTGGTTCTGATTACTTAATAAAACTAGAGATTTTAACTATTTACTACTTGTTTCCATCATGTGAGAGTAATCATAAAAGACAGAATTCAGTATTTCAAGGTGACTATATTTAAAAATACTGTATTGTATATTTGGAAATTTCTAAGAAAGTCAACTTTAAAAGTTCATTATAAGAAAAAAAATTATTATAAGTATGTATGGTTATGGATGTTAGACTTGTGATGATGATCTTTCAGAATATACACAAATACTGAATTGCTACATTGTACACCTGAACCTAATATGCTACATGTCAATTATATCTCAACAAAAACAACAAAAAAGAAAAATAGTCATGAAAAACACTCATGATTTTTTAAAAATATTTTTATTTATTTCTAGGACAGAGAGAGAGAGACAGCGTGAGCAGGGGAGGGTCAGAGAGAGAGGGAGATACAGACTCTGAAATAGGCTTCAGGCTCTGAGCTGGCAGT